GAGGAGAGGAGAGGAGGAGGAGAGGAGGAGAGGAGAAGAGGAAGGGGAAAGGGAGTGGCCGAGAGGAGGCGGAGGAGGAGGAGAGAGGAGGAGGAGGAGGAGGAGGCGCGAGGCGGAGGCGGGCGGAGGCGGGGGAGGCGGCCTGCCCCCTCTGCTCGCCTCTCGCGCCCCCCCCCCCCCCCCTCTCTCGGCTCGGCAGGCTCGCCCTCGCCGCTCGCTCTGCTCCGCCGGCCTCGGCCTCGATTATTCTTCGCCCCTCCCCCTCTCTTGGCTCCCCCTTCTCTTGGCTCCCCCCTCTCTTGGCTCCCTCTCTTGGCTCCCCCCTCTCTTGGCTCCCCTCCCCCCTCTCTTGGCTCCCCTCTCTTGGCTCCCCCCTCTCTTGGCTCTCCCCGTGGCCGCTCGCTCTTCTCCGCCGGCCTCGGCCTCGCTCTTCCGCCCTCCCGCGCCGCTCCTCTGCGTCGAGCCCTCTGCCCCCGAGGGGCCCCCCGAGGCCAGCGCCACCTCCTGGGGCGCGCGCCGGGGCGTGGGGGCACCCGCCCTTGCCTCTGCCCGTCCTCCTCGTCCTCCCCGCCGCCTCCCCTTCCTTTAAGTCGGGCCTGTCCCCCTACAGGGGGATTTTCGACGAAAAATAAAAGATACGCCAAAATAAATGAATCCAAAAATAGTCTGGGGACTATTTTGGATTAGAATAATCCGCACAATCAAAAAAAACAAAATAATCCCGACATAACCCTTCCTCCTCCGCCGGGCCCCCTTTCTTGGCCTTCCCCCCCTGTCGTCGTCGCCGCTCGCCGTTCCCCGTCGCTGTTCGCCGTCGTCGTCGCCGTCGTCGCTGCCGTCGCCGTCGCCGTCGCGGTCGCCGCTGCCGCCGCCGCCGCCGCCGCGCACTGCGGGGCAGCTCGGCCGGGGCGCCTGGACAGCAGGCCGGCAGGGAGCGCGGGGTAGGCCCCGCCCGCGCAGCCAGCCAGCCAGCATCAGCAGGCCCGCCAAATACCGGAGCAGGGCGAGTTGAGGCGCTGGCAGCTCAAAGTCGGCCCCAGGGCCCCTTGGTTTGGGTGCTAGCGCGCTGGGTCTCCGAGCTGCGACCAGCCGCGGCGACGAAGGGATGGGTTGATCGTACTCGTGGATTGGAACTCTTAATCGTGACGAGGGTGAAGTTAATGTGGTGTCATAGTGTGATGTGGGGGACACCTGGGTGTGACACTACACTGACACTACACTGAGGTTACTGTGGTGTCGTACCACACTAAGGTTACTGTGGTGCCATAGTGTAGTGTCGGGGACACCTGGGTGCGACACTACACTACGACACCACACTAAGGTTGCTGTGGTGTTATAGTGTCTTGTCGGGGACACCTGAGTGTGAGACTACACTACGACACCACACTAAGGCTATTGTGGTGTCATAGTGTAGTGTCGGGGACACTTGGGTGTGACATTACTCTGCGACACCAGACTAAGATTTCTGTGGTGTCATCGTGTAGTGTTGGGGGCACCGGGGTGCGACACTACACTATGACATTGCACTGCGGCCGAGGAGAGTGGCTGAGTTTTTTCTGCCTCCTGTTTTGGTGGGTTCTTGAGTGGCTTCGCTCCGCGAGAGAATGCTCTACGCTACGGTTACTGTGGTGTCATAGTATAGTGTTGGGGGCACCGGGGTGCGACACTACACTATGACATTGCACTGCGGCCGAGGACGGGAGCTGAGTTTTTTCTGTCTGCTGTCCCGTAAGGTTTTTGAATGGTTCCGCTCCGCGAGAGAGTCCTACGCTACGGTTACTCTGGTGTCATGGTATAGTGTTGGGGACACCGGGGTGCGACACTACACTACGACACTACAGTACGGCTGAGGAGAGGGGCTGAGTTTTTTTTTGCCTGCTGATCCGTAGGGTTTTTAATTGGCTCCGCTCCGCGAGAGAGTGCTGCTCTACGCTACGGTTATTGTGGTGTCATAGTATAGTGTTGGGGACACCAGGGTGCGACACTACACTATGACACTACACTATGGCTGAGGCGGTGAGCAGAACCTAAAAAAAACCAGACAGAAAAGCGACGTCATCCTTCTCTCCCTCCCCAGCCGTACTGTAGGGTCATAGTGTAGTGTCGCACCTGGTATCCTCTGACATTACACTATGACACCATACTAAACCTTAGTGTAGTGTCGTAGTGCAGTGTCAGTGTCGCGTGGACATGACACCACACGAGTGAAGATAGTGTCGTGTCGTAGAATAGTGCCGATTTTCACGGTTGAGATCTGCTCTCTTGACGAAGGGCTTTCGATGGCCAATTACCGTTGTCTCAGCTGGCCCTTTCCCGATGTCTTGCCCACCGCGCAGCATCCCGTCCCCGGCGGGGCTGCCGGGGGCCATTTCCGCGCGGCACTCCACCAGCCTCGCGTTGGGGGGGCCGCCTGGGGGGGGGGAACGCAAGTAAAGCACATGCTCCCCAGCAGCACCCAACGCACTGTGGGGTTGCTGGGGGTTCTTGCCCGCGCATCACTCCACCAGTTCCCACGCTGGGGGGCCGCCGGGTGGACCCCTCCCCGGGGGCGCAAGGTCGGGCGCCCCCCGCGTCAGCGTCGGGCGTCAGCCGGACCTCCCCCGGCCGCGGGGAGGGTGCGCAGGCCGGGCGCTAGGGAGCCCGCCTGCAAGTAGGTGCCCGCGCCGGGCGGCCCGGCCGGGCGCGGCGCCGTGACCGAGCGGCGGCGTCAAGCGGTTTGGAAGGAAGGAAAGAAGGAGGAGGAGGAGGAGGAACAGGAGGAGGAGGGGGGGAAGGGTTCAAGAGGGGAGGACGATGATGATGAGTAGGAGGAGGACCTGACTCCTCTCGCTTCGGAGCGCCGGCGGCCGGCCCAGAAAAGGAATGGGGAGAGGACGATGATGATGATGATGATGATGATGATGATGATGATGATGATGATGATGATGATGATGATGATGATGATGATGATGATGATGATGGTGATGGTGATGGTGATGGTGATGGTGATGGTGATGGTGATGGTGATGATGCCGATGTTGATGATGATGATGGTCGTGGTGGTGGTGATGATGACGACGATGATGATGGTGATGATGATGAGGATGATGATGGTGATGATGATGATGGTGATGATGCTGCTGATGATGATGTTGATGATGATGATGCTGATGATGACGCTGACGGTGTTGATGATGATGCTGATGATGGTGGTGGTGATGATGATGAGTATGATAATGATGATGATGATGATGAGAAGGAGGAGGAACAGGAGGAGGAGGAGGAGGAGGAGGAGGAGGAGGAGGAGGAAGAGGTGCAGGAGGAGGAGGAGGAGGAGGAGGAGGAGGAGGGGGAGGAGGACAAGCTAGGTGCGCTGGCGTCATATCTGACATCCTACCCCTCCCTCATGGCGTAGATCCCCTTTCTACTCGCACAGTCGGATGTCGAGCAGGGCAATGATCTCGAAAGGGTAACTACGCGATGCATTGTAGAGCACGGCGTGACATGGCGTATAAGGGCACCGCAAAGCGTAGTATGTCACAGCATGGCGTGGCGTGGCGTAGTGAAGAATTGCATCACAAAGCTTCGCAACGCAGAGCATTGCGTCGCACAGCGGCCCCGAACATAACATTGCATAGCATGGCGTTGATGATCAACGCGTAGCATGGCATAGCATGACAGGGCACTTAAGCATTGGATATGACAACTGCAGCTGAAGGCATGGCATCGCGCAGCGGAACGCAACCTAGCATTGCATTGCATGCCGTGGCATGGCACGGGAAATGACGCCAGCGCTGCAGCGGGAGCACGATTCGGAACGAGCGGAAGCGCGGAAATGAGGCCAGCGCTGCAGCGGGAGCACGATTCGGAACGAGCGGAAGCACGGAGATGAGGCCAGCGTTGCAGCGGGAGCACGATTCGGAACGAGCGGAAGCCCGAAAATGAAGCCCGCGCCTTAGCGAGAGCATCATTTTGGAAAAAAACTAGCGAAAACCCAACTCCGGGAAATCCTGAGTGCAAAAAAACAGCACGCGGAGGGGTGCCCGCTATCTTCCGCACGCCATCAGGGGATGGAGTAGAGTAGTATTCATATTGTGTAGTTGTAGAGGAGGAGGGGAAGGAGGAAGAGGAGGAGGAGGAGGAGAAGGAAGGAACAAAAGGAGGAAGAGGAGGAGGAGGAGACGGACCATATTTTCCCTGCGGTTGTCTGGCCCCTCCGAGACGCATCGCGGCGAGCCCCCGCCCGTCCCCCCTTGATCCTGGGGGGTGGAGGGCGCAGATCAGAAAGGCCTGCCTGCCCCAGCAGCGCGCGCCCAAAAACGCCAGGCCGAGGCCGCCCAAACGGGGCCGGCGCAGGTGATGTGGGAGGACCTCTTCCTCCTCCTCCTCCTTCTCCTTCTCCTCCTCCTCCTCCTCCTTCTCCTCCTCCTCCTCCTCCTCCTCCTCCGCCTCCTCCTCGTCCTCCTCCTCGTCCTCCTCCTCCTCCCTCCTCCGTCCTCCTCCCTCCTAGCCGCCGCCCCGGCCCGAGAGGATTTCGGGTGCCTTACCAGGTAAGGCGACCTCTCACCCGGGGCTGCTGCCAGACGCGCCCGCCCTTCCCGCGTGCCCCGCCACGGCGCGCAGCAGGAGGGCCAGCCGTGACAGAGGCGAGCCGGCCTGGCATCGTCGTGCCAGGGCCGAACGAGGCAGGGCCAGGACCTTGCTACGTATCGCCTCAGCTAGTGCATTGTTGGGCAGACATCACAGCAGCATGACGAAAGGACGTGCTAGAGGTGACAGCAGAGGACGACAGGATCGCTCAGATCGAGAACACGAGCCTCGCTCCCCGCCATGGAAGACAGTCACCAAGTACAAGCGCCTATGGGAATGCCCAGCATGTGCATATCACAATGCATGGGACGCGCAGGTGTGTGCCAAATGCCATCCCAGCCAAGTCTCAGATCGGAGAGAGCGACGAGCCAGATCGGCGTCACGCCCACGTGGCCAGCGTAGAACTGCCACCTCGCAGCCCCCACAGCGAGGCGCGGTGAGCACGGCCAACAAGCAGATGGAAGATGACCCAGATGGGATCATTCCGACCATGCCGGCATCCCCTGAGACGGCGCAGGCACACCGACGATGGCGAGAACCGCCACAGGACCCACAGCAGCTGGGGGATTTCAGGAAGGCATTGGCCGCGACAATGGAGTCCATAGAGCGCCAGCTGCACTGCGCGGCCGCGCTCAACCTCGACCAAGAACAGGTGGGCCGCATGCAGGAAGAGTACAGCGTACTATTGTATCAGATGATGCATTCCAGGTCGCCCCAGGCCAGAATCACGAAGCAGCGCATGTTTGTCGGCCGCTGCAAGAAGCGCCTCATGGACGCCCAGGCGAAGATGCACTTGCTACAAGAGCAACTAGAGGCGGCCGACACTCAATGTCAAGTTCTCACAGACGAACTCGCACAAGCAGAACAGTTACTGGAACACTTTGAAGACTTGGATGACGAGAAACCAATCGCAGGCAACATTGCTGTTCCTGAAGATGATGATGACGAGCTCATGATGGACGGAACCCAGTCGAGCTTCCGCCCAGGGCAGAGAGGAACAACCAGCAGAGCACCATGGTCGACAGCCAGTTCCTCACCGTTCACGACGCCGCCCAGGACAGCGACAGTGCAGCGCACGACAGCTACTCCTACCGCGGCCTCGGGAACGCCTGCCCAAGCCACAGCAGCTGGCGGACAGGAGACACCGCGCTCCCAAGCCGCCTCGCCCAATACGCAGGTACCGCCTGGAGGGCACGCTGCAGTGGCCATGGCAAATGAAGTCAGCATGCCAGCACTTTTGGCAGCAATACAGCAGTCCAATGCACAAATGTTGCACAACATGTCATCGTTCCAGCAGACCGTGGCCACTCTCCAGACTGAGATTGCCAACATCAGGAATGAGAAGAAGTCGGACATGGAGACCATCACCGCTGCCGCCATCGACGCGGCCAAGACGGCAGTCGCCATGCAGACCCCCAAGAAGGACAAGGACAAACCGGTGCCAGCGGAGATCCAGAAGGCCAACCGAGCCAAGCTGGAGGCGGCCCTGATGGGGCGCAGAGCTACACGTTCGGTATCTCCTAGACGGCACACGGACAGTGGACAGGCGGGGGCCAAAGTCCTACGAGCTGATCGAGAAGGCGGAGGAACCATGGGCGCAGGTGCAGGAGAAGTTGCAAGCCGTGAGGCTGCAGAGGAAGCGGCAGCCAGAGCTGCCGCAGAGGATAGTGATCATGCGGCCCTGCAGTCGCCTGCGAGTGTTGCCCAGGCTCTTGTTTTTCCGCCAGTCAGCGCAACACCAGCGAGCCCACTTTTTCGCTAGGGGCCGTGTCAGAAGCGTCTCGGCCCCCTCTGAATTCAAATACTCCCATCCAAGATCCAGATTTTCCAGCTAGCCCATTCCCCAGTGAAGAGGACAAGCCAAAGGAAAATTGCTCGGAACACCTCGGATACCACATTTGCGGCAATCCAGTGGAATCAACGACAGGTGCTCCTTATTCTCCCATCCCGCCGCTCCACTCCACCAAGAAGTTATTAGAGAAGAAATGGCCCATTCAGCTTTCCAATGACTTGTTGTCGTGGGCACAATTTTGGCATTCTTCTACAGTGTCGGCCTTTGCCAGTCTCATACCTTTTGACCCGAAGGTCCAGATTGACCATCTCAGGATATACACAGATGCGACGGCAGGGACCTTCAAACATCAGGGACAGACGTGCTCGCCAGCATGGGCTTTCTGTGTGCTCGCTGTCACCACTTTCGGAGTTTCCTTCCTAGGATTCCTTGCTGGCCCTCTGCAGGGATGGGATGCTTCTGATGCGAGAACCCCGTTGAGAGCCGAGCTGGAAGCGGCCATTTGGGCCACAGCATGGCTTTTGCAAGCACCATCGTGTTGCAGGCGGGCCCCGATATGTTTTTACACTGACAACATGGACGTGTTGCGTATTTACCAAGGAGGGTATGTGCACGGCGTGCTGTTACCTGCTAAGACGTTACTTGACAGTCTTACGCAGATCATACGAGCCTGTGTGATTGCGGTGACGTATGAACATGTACATGGACACACTGCACACCCGTGGAACGAGTGCGTGGACACGCTTGCACGTTTATATGCCATGCGTGTACTGCCCGATTTTATTGAGCCAGCGTGGAGATCCCTTATACATCAGGACCCCCACCAAAAGGCCCTACCCTGGATTTGGTTACTCTTCTCCGACTCCAGCACACGACAGGCTTACCCACCCAACCACGGTATGCCTCTCCCTACGCCTCAAGTCCCCACTACGGGCATTCGGGAAATTTTACCGAGCCCCAAGAGACCCATACGAGGCCGACATGTCTTTGCCATGGGCTGGATGGCCATGGCCAATGTGCTCTCGCTGGACCCCCGAGCCTACAAGGGTTCCCGACAGGCACACGATAAGTTTCAGGGTTTCAACGCCACAGGCCGCATGATGCAGCTGGCGGGGCAGTTTGCGCAACGGCCCTACTTCATAGTAGGCACAGTTGAGACGCGTCTCAGGCGGACAGGCACATCGGAGCTTGGCCCGTACTTCCTGTTGCACGCCCAGGCTAACGACTCCGGAGGGGATGGATGTACTGTATGGATCAACACACATTGGGAATACCAGGAGGGATGCAGGGTACAGCCTTCTCACTGCCAAGTGTTACATGCAGCGCCTGACATCATGATCGTGGCCGTGAGGGCCCCTTCACTTTCGCTTTGTGTATGTGTTGCTCATGCTCCGCATTCGCGCCGACCCCCAGCACACATACGACAGTGGTGGAAACAACTGCAGCAGCTTATTATACAGCACAGGGGTACGGCAGAGCATGTGATCACACTGATTGACGCCAATGCAGCAGTTGGGTCATACACGGACGCACATGTAGGGCCCATACATGCTGAGCCTGAAAACCTGCCTGGGCACAGTTTTCGTATGTTTCTCCAGGGCACAGCCCAATGGGCTCCATCTACCTTTTATGAAGACCCATCGGGATCCGCGGGTACCTGGACGGCACCGGGAGCACGCACCACACCTAAGAGGCGCGACTACATAGCTGTGTCCGCTGACATACGTGTGCCTGCGCAAGGAGTCGATCACGGCATCGACCTCACAGTCACGCAGCCAGACCACAACGTGGTGGCAGCATGCTTACTTTTCCCGCCATCCAGCTTTGTGCCAACAGCACCGAGGCCATACAAGGTGCAGCACGATCCTGACATGTACAAGGATCCAGTGTCCATCAGTGTATTCCAACATCTGCTGTCGCAATTCCGACACCCCGACTTCGCAGTACACAGCACAGATCACGTCAAAACATGTGAAGAATACGTGAGGTATGCCATGGTCACAGCCTTCCCAGTACGTACGACGGCAGCGGGACGGCAACCACGGCAGTCATGGATCAGCGTCAGCACACTTGCTATGCAGGACGAGCGAAGTATATACTTACGCCTAGCTCGCAAGATCGGGCGGCAAGCTCACAGAGCCATGGTGCGAGTCATCTTTTTCGCCTGGCAGCTGCATTTTGCGACGACGGATGCAGAACATGAGAGGCCACGTGGCCATAGCAGCAGAAGGTCGCGGCGCATGCCATGCCTGCCTACCTTAGTGAGACGCACACGGCAGATGCAGCAGCCATGCCTCCTCCTTCCGCAAGCAACGGCATCTCTCTTGTGCCGAGAAGCGGATATTCGCAGGCAGCAAGGCAATGGCAGAGGCATAGGCAAACCACGTTTACTTGCTAAATGGGGACAGCAAGGGGTCACGGCCATCATTCTACCTCCCCCTTTCAGACCAAAGGAGTATCAGACGGGGCATGGGACGGAGACGGGAATATGGGACTACATTGCGTGCTGCTGGGACTATGCGCATGGAGTGCGCGCCTGTGCCCTAGCACATCGTGAGCTGCTGTTATTTCACACTACACTACTGATCCGACATGCGACTATGCAAGATGCCTTGCATCATTACAACAACCTGGTGCAGGGAGTTTCTGATGCTTGGGATCGCAGGCAGTATGATCAGGTCTTTGCCAAACTACGTGCTATGGGAATCGGTTCGTCCAAGAAAGTGAACACCAGGGCCCTACCCATTCTAGAGCTAGAGGATGGCAGCATGGCTGCCACGCATGAAGCAGCAGCAGACAGATGGCTGCGTCATTTTGCAGCAGAAGAAGTGGGAGTGGTGGTGCCAGTTGATGACGCCAGCACATTTGCGCGAAGTATCCCATCCCTTCCTCAGGAACTCACACACGATATCACGTATGATGAAGTGTTCCTCCCTACCCTCTTCAGCTACCAAAGAGCTTGCCGCACAGCCAAGTCCTCAGCTGCCAGCTTAGACGGCATTCCAGGGGCCCTCCTAAGAAGTTTTGCCACGGTCCTGGGAGCCCTGTTCTACCCGGTGGTGGTTAAAGCTTGTACCCGCATCGAAGAACCCTTGCAATGGAAGGGGGGCAACTACTGGAACATCTGGAAGAAGAAAGCTACCCCGGCCATATGCAAGAACCATCGGTCGGTGATGATATCATCCCAACCTGGGAAAAAATACCGACAGCTGCTGCGGGCGCCGCTCGCAGAAGCTCTTCCTGCATATGCAGGGGACTCGCAGTATGGAGGAATTGCAGGGAGAGGTGTCGACCTTGCAGCGCTCGCTGTGCGTTCATTTCAAGAACTCGCACAGACGCTCAAGCTGTCAGCGCTCTTTTTCATGCTTGACGCAGTCTCAGCTTTTTATCGGGCAGTGCGCGAACTTGTTATGCAGTTGGGCACCTCAGATGCGGACCTACACAGCATATTACACACAGCGGGGCTCCCACCAGGTGCCATTGAGGACCTCAAGGCGCACATCGCGGAACATCGCACACTACTAGAGCAAGCAGGGATATCGCGGCACGTGCGCGCGCTCACAGCCTCTAGCTACTCAGGCAACTGGTTTTGGTACCCAGGAGCGTCAGCAGTCGCCTTCTCACTTGAAGGAGCGGTGCCAGGACAACAGCTAGGCGACGTAATTTTCAACTACGTAATGGCAGCATGCGTGAAGGAAGCTCAGCAGGGGCTGCAGGAACTGGAGCTTGATCTACGTATACCTATCTCATTACATGCATCAATGTCCGACATGATGCAGCACGCTCCAGACACTATGCGAGGAGGATTGGAAGTATGTTTTTTCGACGACGGTGCGATTGTCGTTCTAGGAGCAGCCCTGCACTTGCTCGAAGCTGCGCCCAAGGTAGCGGCGGTGGTAGCTGCCAGCTTTGTGAGAAGAGGACTCAGGCTCAACTTTGCGGCAGGCAAGACGGAGGTGCTGTTTCAACTCAGAGGAATTGGCGCCAAGCGTGCCAAACGGGAGTTATGGCTCGAGCGAGAAGGCCGCTTCGAGATCCAATCAGAGCTCCTAGGACGCTTCACTCTGCTCGCAGTGAGGACATATCCACACTTGGGCACGCAGCTAGATGAACTGGGATCCATCGGGCCCGAGCTGGCCCATCGGGAAGCGTCTGTGAGGTCGTCCAGTACACTACTGCGTAGACGGGTCTTTGGCTCCCCTATTGGGCTCCCACCACAGGCCACTCTGCACTTTGTGGACACGCTCATTTTCGCGGGCCTCCTCTACAATGCAGGTACGTGGCCAGAACTCACGGAAGCTCAGCACGCGCACATTCAGCACCTGATCATCAACAAATATCGTCAGGTTTTGAGGGCCCCTCAGAAGGACTCTGAAGCGGACCCCGACAGGCTCATACTAGCAAGGGTACGACGGGCGGATCTGCGTGCAGTGCTTAGAGTACACAGGCTACGCTTGCTAGGTCGCCTATTACACCATGGCACACCTACACTACGCAGCCTACTTGCGCATACGTACCGCAAGGACCATATACACAAACGCACGTGGTTACACAGAGTACTACATGACTTACAGTGGGTGCGGAACAACAACCACCGACTGCGTGAGATGCCAGATCCAACTGAGGACTTCCAGGCATGGGAAGTTCGAATTTTGCAGTCACTCTCAGCTTGGAAGAAGGTATTGCATGTCACTCTTGCTGC